TTCCATTCACTCAGCCAGCAGTTAGCGAGTGCCTGCTGCAGCCCTGGGCTGTGACCCAGCGCCTGATGATCTGACTGCTGTCTGCTGACGGGAATCTCCTCTGCTCCTTAATGCACACTGTTTACACAGACGGCCACCTAGTTGTGGAAGTGGAGAGAAGCACAGTAGAGCTGGTAATGGTGTTTTGGTTAGTGAAATAAAAACATGAGACAGTTTCAAGAGAATTACGATCTCAGATCCAGGGGTGGTGGTACATGTCTATAACCTGAGCATTTGGGAGGCAGAAGCAGGAGTTTGAAGCCAGCCTGGGCTTTAGAGCAAGACCCTGTCTCAAAAGCCACAAAAGAAAAGAAAAATGCCAGCTTTGACCCATGTTTGACTTTCTGCCTAATTGGACTTGGGAGATGTAAGTAAATACAAAAGCTAATTCATGAGGCTCTAATGCACTCCCTGGGAGGCATTCTTCAGGTCTTGGGCCTTTGCAGGTTTTCTTGCCTCTCAAGATCCCTAGCCCAAGAGATGCTTTGTTTAAACTTGATCAAGTGTTGATGAGTCTTTCTAGCCCAGGTAAATCATAACTTTGGAAAAACTTGCCTTTTCTTCTCTCCTGAAAATCAGAAGACAGCTGATTTGGATCTCTTAGGGTGTCCGATGCCTATATAAATACACAACGGAACTGGATCCATTTACCTGTGAGTGCCAGGCCTGTTGTTTGCCAGGGGTTGTATTATTAGTCTATCACGTTTCTGAAATCTACACCAAGAAGAGCAAGTAGGCTCTTGAAGGGGCCAGGGAACAGAGGAAGCAAAGAATATGCTATTGATTGTTGGCTGGTTTAATTTCCTATGCAAGGTTTCTGATTGGGCATATCCCTCGTGGCAGGCTCTTGTTTGTGGGGGCACTTCTGGACCCCGTTTCCATGGCAGGTTATTATTATATCTTTCTGGCTCTGAATTGTCTCATCAGTTCAAGGCCTTTATTTTACTGTTTTCTCTATAGGAAGTTCATACACTGGGTAGATGAGAAGTGTTGTTTCATCCTTGATCAGCTTAACAGCACAATGTTCTAGTTGGTTTTTCTTTTTTTTGGGGGTGGGTGGGGGTGGTGCTGGAGATTGAACCTAGGATGATGTACTTGCCAGGCCCTTTGATACAGCATCTTTGATACTGTCCTGGAATCTAAAAATTTGATTTGCTATAAATGTGTAAACTTTTGTGGTATAGAATGGCATTTTCTCTCTTATAATTCCATTACTGACCTTGACCTATATAGGTGCTGCCAGCCCTCAGAGTGTGTGTGTGTGTGTGTGTGTGTGTGTGTGTGTGTACGTGTACACGTGTTGGAGGGTTGCTAGTCAAGGACTCTGCCATACATCCTCTTGAGACTGCTAGTCCTGACATCATGATCACTGCCCTCAGGGCATGCCTGCTTCCTACCATCGCCAGGGATTCACCCCTTCTCTCCACCTCGGCACCAGCTTCTCACTGCATCCTCTACACCACACTGGCAATCTCCCTGCATGCAGCAGCTGAGAAGGGCTCCTGGCTCTGAGCTCTGAAACCCTCATACTAAAGCCAAATGCTGAGGATTGTTTCTGTCCCCTCGCAGCGCTCTCTCCACCCCTCCTGCCCCACTGCAGCCGCAGTGGCGGTGTTGCTGTCCCTCAGGCACGCCAGACGCTCTTCTGCCTGGCACACTCCCCAGATGTCCCTGCTCTCCTTCTGGCCTCCTGTAGGTCTCCACTCCAATGCCACTTGACTGCGAGCGAGGCCTCTTGTGGCCAGCCTGCTTAGAATAATCTGCCCTTTCCTGTCATTCTCTGTTTTGTTTAGTTTAGTACCACTTGACACATGATTGGCTTTGTCTTTTTCCTTTAGAGAAGCTAAATTCCATGAAGGAAGTTATTTTTCCCTGTTCGTTATAGCCAACCCCCAAATCCAGAACAGTGCTTGGCACAGAGTCTGAAGTGGAAGTTTTGCTTAGTGACTAACAGTAAATTATGGAGCTTTTAGAGGTATCACCTGCGTAGTAGACGGAAAGGACTTAAGGTGAGCCCCTGACTAACTTCCTGCCTGGCAGACTCCTGGGTTTGGGAGGCAGACATGGGAACTCAAAGAGGCTGAAATGGCTACAGCGTGCCCAGCATACCTTCACCAGTGAGCGCTCTGCACAGAGAACACTTCCGAAGGCTCCAAAGGGATCACCTTTTTGGCAGTGTACTCCTTAGAGTGAGGCTCCTTGAACCTGGATAAAGATCAGCTAATGGAAGCAGCCCATCTGCCAGCATCCCCCCAAGCTCACAGAAACCATGAGAAACCACCTTGGGGATAATTGGACCAGGCAGTGGGAATGGCCAGCATGCTGACGTGTGGGAGTCTCAGCCGGAGAAGACCCAGACAAGAGAAGCAAACCTATAAGTGACAAACAAGGATCTTACAGCACCAGTGTAAATAACTTGGGATGTGTGAAGGACAGTAAGACCCAATGAGAAGTAAGTGGAAGATAACCAAAAGTTCCCCAGAAGAAAAAAACATGACCCAAAAGGAAAATTGAACTTCTGGGATCATTAGCAGGTCAGGCACTACGGAAGAAAGCACTCCTGGAACTTGAAGACCCACAAGGAGGAAAAGAATGTGGACACTGCTAAAGCAGGCCATATTGGTGGAATTTGAGTTCCCTCCAAAATGTTGGAGGAGTGCTGTCTAGATCTTCAGAGAAAACTAAAACTGCTGATTCACCCGTTTCCATAAACTAAGCAAATTAGAATGAAAAACCATCATCACCAAATATTTATGGTCCACACATACTAGCATTTAAGGAAGACATTTGCCAGAGTAGATTTAAAAACATAACCTAACTATATGCTGACTACAAGAATTGTGCTTTAAAAATAAGGATATGACTGGGTGCTGTAATCCTAGCTAGTCAGGAGGTTGAGATCTGAGTTTCAGAGTTTGATGCCAGCTTGGGCAGGAAAGTCTATGGGACTCATCTCCAAATAACTACCAGAAAAGTTTGAAATAGAGCTGTGGCTCAAATGGTAGAGTACTAGATTTGAGGGGCGGGGGGAAAGCTCAGGGACAGCACCCTGGCCTTAAGTTCAAGCCCCAGGACTGGTGCGTGTGTGCGCACATGCACGCGCGCACACACACAAACACACATACACACACAAAGATAGGTAGAGAAAGGTAAAGGGATAAAGTTATACCATACAGAGACTGATCTAGAGAAAGCTGGGATGGGAGGGGGTGTGTGGCTAACATGGTAGAGCCCTTGTTTAGAAGCACAGGGCTCTTGAGTCCCGAGTTAAGTGTTCATGCCACAAGAAATACACACACACACACACACATATTGTAGTTTTATGTTTATTTTTAAATTTTGTATATTTATATATTAGTCTCAGTGGCATTGTTATTATTATAATAATTATTATTATTACTTGAGTACCAGGGCTCAAACGCAAGGCCTGAGTACTGTTTTATAATTTTTCTGCTCAAAGCTAGTGCTTTCCCACTTGAACCACAGCTCCACTTCCAGCTTCTTGGTAGACTCTGGGCTTTTCCCACTGTAGTTTACAGTTGTGCTGCTTTCTCAGGCCAACTGAGTCATCTGATTTTCAGCTTCCAGAACTGTTTCCATTGCCCTCTTCTGCTCTCCCCGGGGGCCAGTTTGCCTGCCTGCCTGCCTTTTCTTCCTTCCTTTTCTCCCTTCCTTCTTTTCTCCCATTTTTCCTTCCTTTTTTCCTTCCCTCCCTCCCTCCCTCCCTCCCTCCCTCCCTCCTTCCTTCCTTCCTTCCTTCCTTCCTCTTCCATTTTTGTGCCAGTACTGCCACTTGAACTCAAGGCCTGGGTGCTGTCTCTTAGTTTTTTCCTGCTCAAGGCTAGCTCTAACACTTGAACAACAGCTCCACCTCTGGCTTTTTGGTGGTAAATTGGAGATAAGAGTCTCATGGATGTTCCTGTTTAGGCTAGCTCTGGCTTTGAACCATGATCCTCAGTCCTTAGTCTCCTGATTAGCAAGGATTACAGGTATGGAGCCACCAATGCTTGGCTTGGCTTGGCTTTTTTGTTGGTCATGGGGCTTGAACTCTGGGTCTGGGCACTGTCCCTGAGCTCTTCAGCTCAAGTCTAGAGCTTTACCACTTTGAGCCACAGCACCACTTCCGGTTTTCTGGCAGTTAATTGGAGATAAGAGTCTCACAGACTTTCCTACCTGGACTGGCTTTGAACCGTGATCCTCAGATCTCAGCCTCGTGTAGGTAGGATTACAGGCGTGAGCCACCAGCTTCTCTTTCTTTTTTAATCATATAAAGCTTAGGACTGTCACCACGTGTTGGAGGAACTGCTTCGTGGAGTTGTTGTGTGTGCACGTTGTTGTGTGTGCTTGTCATGTGGCACTGACAGAACAGCCTGTTTCTGAGGTCGGTGGTGTGGGGAAGCAGTGCTGTAGGAGCACGCCCACTCAGCCGCCCGGCCTCCTGGCCTCCTGGCCTCCTGCATCGGGAGGCGGCGGGGCTTCTGCTGCCGATCCAGGGGCGGTGGCTTGGTTTGCCTTCTCCCAATGGTTGTTGGCATCAGTGTCCCTGTACAGAAGGTTCCCGTTGGAACTCCCAGCCCTGGCATTCTAGGCTCAAGATCTGGCCTGCCCACCCATGTCCTCCAGCCGTCTGTCGTCCTCCCACACCACCCACTGTTCTTGGCATCCTGTGGGGCTCTGCAGCCCCCATGGCTTTGTTGTTCTGGTGCTCCTGCCCCCTTCTTCCTACTGGTAGTTTTCAGCCCCCCATCACTTCCCGCTGAGTCTGTGACCAGTCCCTTCTGCTTTCCTCCCGAGACCACCTGTGTGCCTCAACGAACGCCTTGCTCTTCCCGCCCCGCGGCAGGCCGATTTGGTGTCTTTGCAGCTCTCTGTGCCTCGCACAGGGCGGGAGTCTGTGACGTGTCTGGATGAGTTCTTGGTGCCAGAGATTTCAAAAGAGAACACTTTATCCTTTTTTGTAGGACATCCGTCACGAAGCCAGTGACTTCCCGTGCAGAGTGGCGAAGCTTCCCAAGAACAAAAACCGGAACCGGTACCGGGACGTGAGCCCCTGTGAGTACCCGCGCTCGCAGCCCCTTGCTCAGCCCGGGCCTTGCCCAGCCTCCTTCGGCCCGCGGGCCAGACTCTCGTGGAGATTAGTCACTGCTGTCACACATCAGAAGGGCACTGGCCACTTAGAGTAATGGCTCATTTCTCCACCACTCTGGAAGGGGGAAGGTTTCAGTTTCTGGAAAATTCTGCGAAGTTGAAAGCACTTGTGTTTAGCTTGGGCTGTTGTGTGATGAGTCATTCTCCCACAGCTGAAGCGGAGTGCGGCGGCCGCGTACACAGCCTTTCCCCGGTGACTCAGCAGCAGAATTGTGCCGAACGTGGCGGGCGCCCACTGCCCCCCACTTCTGCCGCTTCTCTTCCCCACCCTTCATTCTCACAGCTGTCTTCCCAGAGATTGGTTCTCTGCCAGTGCCTTGAAAAGAAGTAACTGGACAGGTTAGGGTTTGTGGGAAGCAGGGAACTCGGGGCTGAGTTCGGGGCTGGACATCGCCAGGCCTGGTAGGCCTCAGAGGCCTGGCAGACCCCTGCAGGACCTGTAGACATTGTCCGTCTGCAAGGGCTCGCGGCCGCTGATGCCTCTCAGACAGTCGCTTCCGTTCCTGGGAACACTGAGGAATGGGCCTGGAATTGGTGCAGAGTTTGTGCCTCTCAGCCCGGTGCCTGGTGCACCTCAGCCCTGCCCCTTAGCACTGCAGCACTGCGGCGCATTATGCCCCTTTCTGATTGGCAGTAAAACAAGTCGCACTCAGCCCATCACAAGCTGCTTAGCCTGGGGTCTCACTCAGGTGTGAGTGGCGGTAAATATGGCCGCCGGGCCATCTTCAGTACCCCGCCAGGGCCTCGGGGACACTGGCTCATGCCCGGCACCCGGTGCTCTTGCTCTGGCACTCTAGGCTGTGGCCTCTCCCTTGCCCATTGTTTCAAATAGCAGCAACTCTGCTGTGGAGTTCTGTCCTGGCAGCTGGCGAGTGTGTCAGGACAGCCACTGTTCACCCTTTCCACACTCAGGATGGGTGAGGGCACAGCAGTGTTCCCTCGCCATGTTTAACTCCTTTCTCTCACTGGTTCCCCCGCCGCCCGTGCTCTCCAGCAGAAAAGTGACTTCTTGTGGGGGCTGTGGCAGAGCAGGAAGGACACCTGGGTTGGTGGTGGCCTGCTGCCCGCAGGGCTTTCCCAGGCTCGTCCAGGGCCACTTGACCTGCTCAACACACAGGATTGGCCACCCACATCTCCTGAGTGTCTCCCTTCCCGCTAACCTCTGTGATGAGGAAGGCTGTTCTACACTGAAGCTCGGCCGCATAGCACACAGCCCAGTAACTAACGTCTCCTTTTCCTGTGGCTCTCATGCAAGATGCTGTGTAAAGGAGTCACTGAACCCCACGTCCCCTGGACTGGGCCAGAAATAGAAGGAACCGCCTGCTCTTGCCACCCAGTAGGACAAGAAAATGGCTCTGGGTGACACTGCTTGAGGCAAAGTAATGATTTGGCAGGGGTGTGGGGGAGGGTTGGGGGGTGGGTATTTGGATTTTAGTTTTTTTTGTTGTTCTTTATAACCTGGGGCAGAACTTCTAAACTTGTATGCCTTCAGTGTTTTGGGCTTGGGACTGTTTCATTTTCCAGTTAAAATCTTTTAAATATCTTTTGTTCTTTGGGGTTTTGTTTTGATTTGTGGGTATATGCCTCTCCTGGGCTTGAACTCAGGGCCTGAGTATGGTCCTTGAGCTTTTGTACTCAAGGCTAGCACTCTACCACTCGAGCCACAGCTCCACTTCCAGCTTTCCAGCCAGGGCCAGTTTTGAACCATGTTCCTCAGATCTCACCCTCCTGAGTGGCAAGGATTACAGGCATGAGCCACTGGCACCTGGCTTGTTCATTTGTTGTTTTTTGTTGGTCATGGGGCTTTAACTCTGGGCTTGGGCACTGTCCCTCAGCTCTTCAGCTCAAAGAGAGCGCTACCCCTTGAGCCACAGTGCCACTTCCAGTTTTCTAGTGGTTTATTGGAGGTAAGAGTCTCACCAACTTTTCTGTCTGGGTTGACTTTGAATGGTAATCTTCAGATGTCAGCCTCCTGAATAGCTAGGATTACAGGTGTGAGCAACCAGCACCAGGCTCATTTGTTTTTCTTTTGAGGCAGGGTCTTACTCTATGGTTCAGGCTGCCCTGGAATTCTAAAGCATCAGCCTTATCTTCTCAGGTGCTGGGATTATAAGCATACACCATTGTGCTTGTCTCCTCTCCAATTGTTTTGATAATGATATATGAAAGGTTTAGCGTCACCCAAGTTCATTATACTTGAACTTCAAAAATTTCTAAAGCTTGTTTAAAGGACTTCAAGTTGAGCCAGGCTCTGGTAGCTCAAGCCTGTCATCCTAGCTACTCAGGAGGCTGAGATCTGAGAATCACAGCTCAAAGCCAGCCCAAGCAGGAAACTCCGTGAGACTTTATCTCCAACTAACCACCAGAATAACAGAAGTGGCACTATGGCTCAAGTGGTAGAGCACTCACCTTGAGCTGAAGAACTCAGGGACAGTGCCAGGTCTTCAAGTTGTGCCTGTGCCAGTGTGGACACTGACCCTCCAGCACTGACCTGAGTCTGCTTTGCCTTTCAGTTGACCACAGTCGGATCAGGCTTCATCAGGAAGATAATGACTACATCAATGCCAGCTTGATCACCATGGAGGAAGCCCAGAGGAGTTACATTCTCACCCAGGTACGCCGACGGCCCGAGCTATGTCTTCAATGGCAACCTGAATTTCAGGATGCTGCTGCCCATGCCTTCAGAGTGTGGTTTTTCATGTGCGAGAGAGTGCCACGGAAAGCAGGAAAACCTTCGAGACACTCAGTTTGGTGGCACTGGCACTGTTTCTGGGGCATGTGAAATGGGTTGCTGGGAAAGGAAGCATAAGAAAACCTGGATGAAATTGCCAGTGGTCTGTTGGCCAGGACAGCAGAGCCAGGGCCAGAGGACGGCCCGCACTGTTGGGGATTCGAGGTTTGCCCTCTAGCACTCCTACGGCTGATGGACAGGTCAGCAGAGGCTGGACATCTCTGGAAGAAAGCCAGTCAGTCTTGCCCTGAGCTCATTCCGTGCTCACTAGAGTACAGGAATGCGCGGGGAGTCGCTCGTGTGCCGGTGGCTCTCGGCACCTCTGGGAAAGGCCATGGAAGTGGCTTGTCACGGAGAGGCCACGACACTTGGAGGGGGAGGACGGAAGGCTTCCTTTTCCTCCGTTCTCTTCAGTCTTCACCTGTGCCCAGAGTTCGCCGTCACCTTTCTCTTTGGTCACCATGTGGTTTCCCGTCTCCCCCAGCCTCTCAGTGCCCACCTGGCTTGATCACAGGTGGTGGCCAAGTGTGTCCTGTGAGCCCCACACCACTTTGGGCTTCTCCACCGTGGCCCAAATCAGCCTGGAGGCTCCCATGGGTGGCACTGCGTTGGGTCTGAGGGGCAGAGGAGCATTGGTGTGGGGTGCGGGCTGTGCTGGGCTGGCCTCCAGGGCCTGACTGCTGGGGTTGATACGGAAGGAACCTCCCGAGGGTGGATCTTTGTAGGAACCCCAAGTTCCTACTGACTTCTTTCAGTTATTCGACTTTGGTTTTTATTTTTATTTATTTAATTAATTAATTTATTTATTTTTTGTCGGTCGTGGGGCTTGAACTCTGGGCCTGGGCGCTGTCCCTCAGCTCTTCAGCTCAAGGCGAGCGCTCTACCAGTTGAGCTACAGCACCACTTCCGGTTTTCTGGTGGTTTATTGGAGATAGGAGTCTCATGGTCTCTCCTGCCCGGGCTGGCTTTGAACCGAGATCCTCAGATCTCAGCCTCCTGAGTAGCTAGGATTACAGGCGTGAGCCACCAGTGCCCGGCTCGACTTTGGTTTTTAATGCCAAAGGCAACAGCATGGAGAAATTCCCATGGAAGCTCTCGTGGCTCTTCCTCGCCCCCTCGCTCTTCCTACTCAGCCCTCTCCTTCCTCCTACCACCTCATTACTTGGAACCTGTGGCACTGGGTCCATTTTCTAAGGTGGGGGCTGCTAAGCTGGGACTCTGTCTCTTCAGATCTCCCATCTCTCAGACGCATCTGACTAGGGTGGTGTGCAGAGAGCCGCAGTGTAGAGGGCCAGCCAGTGGAGTTAGGCAAAGGCCCGGTGGCCAGCCAGGTGCTGTGGACCATTCCTTGCCAGGAGCTGCCCTTCTGTTAGCTGAGGACAGGTCAGGCACGTGGTGGCTCAGGCTGGAGCACACCTGTTGGGTGAGGAGGAGAGCATGCTCAGAGAGCATGAGGCTGCCGAGGGCTGTGTGGGGGTGGGATCTGGTGATGGGGGCCTTGAACTAGAGGCACAGTGACAGCCCCACTCCTCCCAGGCAGTGCTGATAGCCCAGGTCAGCGCCAAGCTCTGGCTTCAGAGCACCCACCACTAGGTGGTGCGCTCGCTGCAAGCACCCTGAGACCAGGGCACCAAGCCCCAGGACAGCCTGTGAACCAGTCTCTTAGATCCCTTGTCTCGGGGCAAAGGCTGCAATCCAACTCATGGGTGCCTGGGAGAACGGTGCTGGCTGTCCTCCTGGACCATGCCTGCCCTTCTCAAGGTGGACGTAGCTCGTTTTCACGCAGTGGTGTCCTCATCGCACGTGGTCTTCAAGGCTGGTCTCTGTCCACACTGCCTGTCACCTATACTTGGTGGTTCTGTCCCACGTTCTACCGGTCCTCAGCTAAGAGTGGGTGGAGCCCCTCGGTGGCTGGCACAGGCTGGGAGGCAGCATCTTCCGTATGTGGTGAAAGGGACCTTTGCTGCATGCCAGAAGGCCAGACGGCTTGACAGCGGCTGCCCACTGTGCAGAGTGGGGTGGGTCCTGTGCCATCTCAGCCACCACTTGGGGCATGAGTCGGTGAGCACTGGGGGCACTGGCATCCCCTCACCACCCATGTCTCCCACGTCACGGGGCATCTTGTGTTTGCAGGGCCCTCTGCCGAACACGTGTGGGCACTTCTGGGAGATGGTGTGGGAGCAGAAGAGCAGGGGCGTGGTCATGCTGAACCGCGTGATGGAGAAAGGGTCGGTAAGTCTACTGGGCCGTCCGTGTGTCCATCCAGAAGCCACCATCGCGCCCGACCTTCCTCCTCTTCCTCGCTTTATCCTCCCTGTGCGGGATAGCTTTGGTTTTAAAAATGGAATGAAGCAGAACATAGATACACTTGTTATAAACAGGCAGATTATGTGAAAAAGGGAGAGAAAAGTAGACTTGGTCTTGGCCCTAGCCAGGCCTCCCGGAAGTCAGCTGTCTCTTCCTCACCTGCGCTTCTCACCACAGCCCCCGTGCCATGGACTTGGGCATCGCTGCTCTGCAGAACCTTCTGGTTGTACCACCCAAGGCTGACCATGAGTAGCCACAGGTTGGCGTGGTCTTTCCCCAGGGAGCCACGGCTGCTTGGATCTGTTGCCGTTTAGCGTGAGAGGTGGCAGCGTCCTAGTCTGCCTTCCTCTGTCTGTGAGTGGGTGCGAGGGCCATGTGTGCTGTGGAACCCACGTTTTCAACTCTGCATCAACATTGTCACCCACAGAAGGGCTGGCAGTGTCCCCGCTCATCTGCCAGCAAACTGTCCCCACAGCCTGTGGGAAAGCCTGCCTGCAGCTCCCATAAATGTGTGGGGCTCCCCGTCCCCTCTTTGTACACAGGGCAAGATGCACACTAGCCATTACCTTGCCGGGCCTTGCACTTCCCAAAAGCCAGCTCTGCAGACAGGGTCAGCCAAATGCCCTGATCTTCACTGGCTTGCTCTTTAAGTTGATTCTGGACCTGTTGGCTAGGCTGGTGCTGTTGTCCAGGTGGGAGTGAGCTGGGGAGCTTAGCTTGACCTAGAGCGCGACCCAGGCTTCTTACCCTTACACTTAGACTTACACAGACACAGATGGGAGACTGGGCCCACACTTCCCTCTCGGACTCTTCTCTTGGTTCCCTGAGTTGGTTGGTCATTGGGAGAAGACCAGTTCTCTGTCAGAGAGCTACGGGGCAACTCCTGTGGGCTCTTCTTCAGATGCTCTGGCTGTTTGGAAAGCTCCCAGGATGTGCTAGCATCTGTCTTAGTGGCAGAAACAACTGCTGGGGACCAGGCAACATTGGCTGTGCCAACCAAACAAGGCCCTGGTTAGGTCCCAGTGGTAGGCTGCTTTCCAGGAAGAGCTGGGCTCTTTGCAGTGGGGAACTGAAAGTGGTGATCTCCTGCCCTTTCTTTCTTACATTTTCTGTGTTTAAAACAAAAATTCCTATAGGCAGCGACAGAGCAGAGCTTGTTCCTATAGATGCCTAGTTAAACACTAGTTGATGGATGTACATGTGGTCTGGTTGTCCCTGGGTCACGGAAGGTGGTCAAACTTCTTTGCACTTCTAGAAGTTAGTGCTCCCTGGGGAGGGCTTGAACAGCTCATCTGCCCTTTTTTGGTAGTAGCGGAATTTGAGCACAGGATCTCAATACTTGCTAGGCAGACAGGTGCTCTATCACTTGAGCCATGCCCCTTGTTAGGGAAAATCTTTTTTCATGTGTGCCATTCCTAGAGCTTGAACTCAGGGCCTAGATGCTTTTGTGCTCAAGGTTAGTACTCTAACAACTTGATCCACAGCTCTGCTTCAGGATTTGTATTGGTAGTTAATTGGAGATCAGCGTCTCATGGACTTTACTACCCAGGCTGGCTTTGAACCTTGATCCTCAGATCTCAGCCTCCTGGGTAACTAGGATTATAGGTGGGAGCCACTGGAGCCTGGCTTGGGGAGAACCTTAAACCTCTTTGGTCTCCTGTCAGGGCATGCTGTCAGTCCCTCTCCCTCCGACTCCAACAGCGCTTCCTGGCCACCACCATCTTTGTCTGGATAGCCATCTATGAGCAGAGGAAAGCATGCCCCCAAATTGGAGTTCACTGTCCCTGTTTAAACTTCAAATGAACCAAATCTTTGGGTTTGTTTGTTTCAAAGAAAATCTTAATGATCACCATTGAAGTCCAGATAATTCTGAACTTATAAAAAACCTACCACAGATATGTTTTGAGAAGTTAAACTAAACCAGGATGGGAGGGTGAGCCTGCTCCTCCCAGCCACCTCTGAGCAGGTCAGAGTTCCCGGCATCCTTTGCCGGTATCCCTCAGCCTTTGTGAAGGCTCCCTCAGCCCATCCAGCCCCTTCTCCCTTGCCTATGGACTTCCTTGGGGGTAAAGCTCAGATGGCCTGGCAGTGAAGGAGGAGGCCACATGAGCCTCTGGCCAGGGGCAAGCCCTGTGCCATGTGGCTGGCAGGCGCGGCCGGGTGGAAGGTCTGGCCTCTGTCTGTGCGGCAGACAGGACGGGGGCTGCGGCCTCAGTTCCTGCAGTGCTCACCACTGTCTCAGCACAACAGTTTCTTGCCCAGTAACCAAACTTCTTTCCTCTTCTAGTTAAAATGTGCCCAGTACTGGCCACAGAAGGAAGAAAAAGAGATGATCTTTGATGACACGAATTTGAAATTGACATTGATCTCTGAAGACATCAAGTCATACTACACGGTCCGCCAGTTAGAGTTGGAAAACCTGACAGTGAGTGCGGTGGGTCCTTCCCTGCCCTGCGGCCTGGGGTGTTACCTGTTGCAACGATCCTGCCCAAGAGAAGAGAGGTCTGGGCACTAACTGAGCCTGAGAACACCTGTTCTCACCTGGAAATGGTCCTCTTCCCCCCACCCCTCCCCATGCATGGGGGACCGAACAGGTCCCTGAAGGGAAATGCTAGCGGAACACATGGCCTTCCTGGCCTGTGGTCCGGGGTCTCCACCTGAAGATGCGCTGTCTCCCCACGGTCTCCAGTGTCCTGGGGGTATTTGCTGTGTGGACATTCGTGATACATTAGTGACAGGGCCTGTGCCCAGCCATGGCACCACAAGAGGCACAGGGGCCGCCGCCGGAGCCAGGCCTTCACCTGCAGTGTCTCCATTTCCTCGTCTGTCAGACTGGGGCTCACAGGGGCCTCAGAGTCCACACGGGGAGAGGCAGCGGGAACAGTCCAGAAACCAGTCTGTGGGAGCGTGGGGGTGCCAGGGCTGCTGCACCCTGCCAGGCGGTGCTGCATGGCCTTAGCAGGGCCCACAGAGGCCTGGCAGGAAGGGGACAACCAGGATGAGCCCTTTTTTTCCTGTCCTGGGCTTGAACTCTGGGCCTGGGCACTATCCCTACCATGTGAGCCACAACACCACTTCTGGCTTTTTCTGAGTAATTTACTGGAGATTAGTTTCCTGCCCAGATTGGCATCGAACAGTGATCCTCAGATCTCAGCCTCCTGAATAGCTGGGATTTAGAGGTGTGAGCACCCAGCACCCAGTGGGAAGGAGCCTTTCAGCTGCCTGACTGCCCACTGCCTGCTGGGGCAAACAGGATCCACGGCACGAGATCATTGCGGCTAGGCAAAGCAAACACCAGAAGCTCTGAGAGGTGTTTGTTGGTTGTTTTTTTGTTTGTTTTGTCAGTTGTGGGGCTTGAACTCTGGGTTTGGGTGCTGTCCCTGTGCTCTTCAGTTCAAGGTGAGCACTCTACCACTTAAGCCACAGTGCCACTTCTGGTTTTCTGGTGGTTAGTTGGAGATAAGAGTCTCACGGACTTTGCTGCCCTGGCTGGCTTTTTGTTTTGTTGTTTTGTTTGCCAGTCCTGGCGCTTGAACTCAGGCTGGCCACTGTCCCTGAACTTCTTTTGCTCAAAGCTAGTACTCTACCACTTGAGCCACAGCACCACTTCCGGCTTTTTCTGTATATGTGGTGTTAGGAATTGAACCCAGGACTTCATGCATCTAGGCAAGCACTCTACCATTTAGCCACATTCCCAGCCCATTGTTGGTTGCTTCTAAGACAGGTCTGGCTGTGCAGCTCGCACTGGCCTAGTACTCACAATGTTACTGCCTTGGCCTCAACAAGTGCTGGGCTTAAAACGTGTACCCCCACACCTGGCCACTCGTAGGGTTCTGATTGCCCAGTAACTTAGTCATTAAAGGTCTTTCTCAGCTATGATGACTACTGATGCTTGGGCCTCGCAGAGGCTTTGTGAATGAGGCCAGGCTCGGGAGGCTGCAAGGGCTCTTTCAGGTCTTGAAAGAAGACTGGAGTTCGTTCTTTCTTCATTTCCAGTCTTTAAAATCTGTTTCCAGTACTTTCTTCCCTGCCCCCAGGAAAATAGTCACAGCATTCTCCCTTGTGGAGTCCTTTTGTAGTAAGAAGAGAGGGACTGCCTCTCCACGCTGCAGATGAGGTCTCTGCGCGAAGCTGGTCATGTCCAACAGGCCCGGGTTAGCGATTCTTCTGTGAGATGGGCGGTGCCTGGGCCCAGCACCGTGGCAGGCACTTGGTAGACAGAGGGGCAGGTGGTTTGTAAGCAGGCCAGTGGCTTACAGCACGGCATTTTGGGCTGCACTGCAGGGAGGACAGGGCAGGCCCAGGGCTCGGTCCTCCCAGCACCTTGGGGCCTTGCTCTCCATGTGCACCATATGGGTTTCTGGAAAGGTAGAGGATGGGGCAGAGTGGACGCAGCACTCTGCACTTAGGACAGAGGTCCCGCACCCCTGACTGGGCTCCCGCAGCCTCGGTTCGCTGGAAACCGCAGGTGCGGTGTGGGCCCCGGAGGTAGGCAGTGTCGCCAGGGCCTGCTGTGGTCATGTCTCCTGTGTGCTGAGTGCCACAGTGCAGCCCCACCTCAGAGACGGCTTTCCTGTGAAAAGTCCCAGTGGTCTTGGAGCCTGAGTGACCCAAGGCCAGTGCCCCAGTGCAGTCCCTTCCTTCCTCTGGGGATCCTGTGGGTGGCACCGAGGGTCATCGTGACCTGTGAGGCGCTGCGTGTGAGAGATGGAGCGCGCGTGGGGCCACCAGGAGGTCGAGGCAGAAGCAGCTGCAGATTCACGTCGGGCACTTGCCTGGCACCTGGCGCAGCCTGTGCCTGGGTGTGAGGAGTGTGAGCCCACAGTCACCCGGCGGGGCCCCACGCGCGCAGGCCTGCGTGGGGAAGCAGTGGACTGCGCAGATGGTTCTCCTCCCTCACTCGTATTTTTTCTCTTCCAGACGCGAGAGACTCGAGAGATCTTACATTTCCACTATACCACGTGGCCTGACTTTGGAGTCCCGGAATCGCCAGCATCCTTCCTGAACTTTCTTTTCAAAGTCCGGGAGTCGGGGTCTCTGAACCCCGAGCACGGCCCGGTGGTGGTGCACTGCAGTGCTGGCATCGGCAGGTCGGGAACCTTCTGCCTGGCCGACACGTGCCTCTTGCTGGTGAGTGGGGGAGGGGTGGGCGTGCAGCGGCCCCACCCTGCAGCCTGGCTGCCCCTCAGGAGACACGTGGCCTTGACCTTGCTGCCCTGCCCCCCATCCGCCTTAGGCCTGGCACGGTCCCCGGGTTAACAGGGATCCATAGTCACAGCCCCCTTGCGCTGGTTCGCAGCTCCCCAGCCCCGGGTGCCGAGGGGCCAGTTGGGCTGCGTCTCTTAGGTTTCCAGGCTCCCTGCCTGCAGCACTGGTTTTCCTGGGTGGTAAGTCTCTGCTGGAGAGTTACGCCAGCTGAACACATCCACTCTCTGCTTCCAGATGGACAAGAGGAAGGAGCCATCCTCAGTGGACATCAAGCAAGTGCTGCTGGAAATGAGGAAGTTCCGGATGGGCCTGATCCAGACGGCCGACCAGCTGCGCTTCTCCTACCTGGCGGTGATCGAAGGCGCCAAGTTCATCATGGGAGACGCCTCGGTGCAGGTGTGCGCCGCCCTGCTTCAGTCCGCTGCAGCGATTCTCAGGGTGGTGTGGTGGAATCGCAGGCGGGCTGGCTAGGCAAGCGTCTGGCCACTGAGCCCTACGTCCATGCTGGTCAGTACTGTCCACTCATGGCCTTGCCCTTCTCTTCCCAGGATCAGTGGAAGGAGCTCTCCCACGAGGACCTGGACCCCCCGCCCGAGCACGTGCCCCCACCCCCCCGGCCCCCTAAACGAATCCTGGAACCACACAATGGGAAATGCAAGGAGTTCTTTGCTACCCAGCAGTGGGTAAAGGGTGAGATGGAGGAGGACAGGCCCAGCAAGGAAGAAGCCAGCACCCTCCTAAACGCCCCCTACAGCTTGGACAGGTAATGCACGAGGGGCTCCGTGAGGCAAAGGGAAATGAGGTTCCATTCCAGAAGCACGCTGGCACTGACAAACTATGGCACAGCCTCCCCTTGGCAAGTAGCGCTCCCAACCTGGTGGGTTCTATCGCCACCTTGTGGCGGTGGCTGGAATCGGGCTCAGCCTGGCTGCCCGCCATGACAATGCCCATCCACAGTCCTCCTGACGGCGTACTTCAGTCCCCACAGGAAACTTTTCATGCACTCCTGATTAAATTTCATTTTGCCTCCTGGCACTAATTGAGTGCCCATTGATGCCCCATGATCTATGGCGTAGACCATGGTGTTGGGAAAGGCGAGCTCGGGGTGCTCGGTAGGAGTGGCGGTGGTCAGGGAAGGCAGCCACGGGAGGTGACTGGCGCGTCGTGGGTAGCAGCGAGCCCCGTCCCGGGCCCTCCGTTCTGGAGGGCAGTTCTCAGGCTGCGAGCAGCAGCCAGGGAGGTAGCTGAGTGCCCGTGGCAGCCTTTGTAGGTGAGAAACCTGAGACAGCTGGGTGTTTGCTGCACTGAGAGCCAGGCGCACGCCGTGCCCACCAGTGCCTCGACCGGACTGGTCCTCATGGCAGCCAAGCACCCAGGCTCCTGGGGGCCTGCCGTGGCATAGGTACTGCCCGAGGTACCGTCGCGACCGTTGTTCCCAGCATTCTTCCATGATGAGAGTGTCCTTGGCGTCCGTGTTCCCCAGGTGAGTAACCCTCCACCCCTCGTCCCGCAGCACACGGCAAGACACTGAAGTTAGAAAGCGGATTGCGGGCGGCGGGCCGCGAGGCCCCCAGGCAGCCTTCCCCGACAAGACAGAGCTGTCTCCACCCCACGAGGAGGAGGACGCAGAGCAGCGGCCACCAGGCCACGCACCAACTCCCTGGAAGCCCTTCCTGGTCCACATGTGCATGGCCACGGTCCTCACAGCGGGCGCATACCTCTGCTACAGGGTGTGTTTTCACTGACCGGCGTGTGGCTGGCGCATGTGCACGAGGCACCGGCGCAGCCCGGTGGTGGGATTTGGTTCTGTGGAGCATCTGAGCCAGTCTCAGAAGAAACAGGTTGCAAGTTCAATAGTCCGCAGCAGCGGAAGGGCTACCCCGAGAACGGAGGACTCTGCACTGGGGTCAAGGAGCCCTGTGGTCCCAAGAATATAAGAGTCTAATCTCAGGGCCTTAACCTATTCAGGAGTAAGTAGAGAAAATGCCAAATACGTCTGTCTGTCTGTTTCTCCCTCTCCGTCTCTCTCTTAAACTTTTTTTTTCCTTTTATTTTGGTTTGTTTTTGGAAAAAAATGCAGAATTACAACACATTGTTGTTTTTAACCTTTATATATATATGTATGTGTGTGTGTGTGTATATATATATATACATATATATATATATATATATATAAACAGCTTTTTTTTATTTCTGAAGACTAGGCACTTACGACTTTCTCGTACAGGAGGTGGTGTAGCCAGATTTGTATTTGATTCCTGGGAAAGAATCCCAAACTTGATGAATGTCTGCTCCCTCGGAGAGGAGGCCCCTCCCCCCAGCCCGTGCACGCACCACCTGCTCTCCCCGCTCTCCCCGCCCTCCCTGGCTGAGAAGGGGAGCCATGGAGGCCGGGCCGGCCTCTGCGCTGCTGTCCCCAGTGCACGTGCACCTCCCTCCCGGCAGCCGCAGCAGAACGCGCCCCGCTCTCCCTCACGGAGGAGACGATCTCGGAGGGCATGGAGACACAGACTTTTTCCCTTAGGGGCAGTGTTTGCAGGTGGCGGTTACTGTTTAAAAATGCAAACCACGAAGCCCCTCGCACTGTGGAGGTTAGTGTCGCCCTTGCGTTGTGGCTCTGGGGCGTGGCCACGTTCGGATTCAGCCTGACCCTCCACTGCCCACCTCGGCCCCTACTGCCCTGCCCGCTCTGCCCTGCAGGTGCGGCCGCCAGCCAGTGCAGGGAGCAGAGAGCCTGGAAGGGTGCTTGTGCTCCCCCCAATTGCGTCCCCCAAGTCTTCCCCTCCTCCTCTTTCAGTACCAAATCCTTCACTCTGTGAGGAGGGCGCAGAGGCATGCGGCCGCTCCAGTCTTGGGGCTCCCCACACCGAGTGCTGCTGCGGTGGCACGCCCCAAGTGGGTGGCAGCCAGCACCCCCCCACCCCACGCAGCCTGTGTGCTGTAAGCCTGTCCGCTCTGTATTTATTTTTAATGTTTCCCCCAAAGGCATCCGTACCGCACTAGCGTTTTTGGAAGTACTGAGGCGTTTTTTGCGCCAGGGCTTTTTGCAGTACGGTAATGACGAAATCCTCAGGTGGCGCCGTGGTCTCGTGGATCTGGCACGTGGGGACTGGGCACGGTGTGTGCCGTCTGGGGGCTGTGTCCTCGTCTGGGTTAGCTGCTGGAAGCTGGTTCTCGAGTGCGGTCCTTGTTCTCGAATGCCCGGCCTGGCCTCGTGCCGGGTGCGGAACGAGCGCTGACTCCTGCTTCCTGCTGAGCCCTGGCACGGCCCCTTATGTGGCCCATTATGTGGCTGTGGCCCTGGGCCGCCACTTAAGGAGCCATCCTTCACCCATGAGCCATGACACGGGCCTGAGTCTTGGCGTGATACTCCGGTGACTTCCCGCGAGGCCTGGCCTGGCTCTACGGATACTCAAGACATTCCACGGGTGTGGCCAGCCCTGCTCACACCTACGCTCTTGGACAGAAGCAGGACCCCCACTCGGGTCCCAGCATCCTCTTCCACATCCACGCCTTCTGGAGCTGAGCAGGTTGGACGCCAGGCGGCCGCAGGAAGCGCCCGGTGCCAGCCTGCCAGCCACTGCCATCTCCGCCCCGGCCCGCGGGGACCGACGGTGCTCGCCACTGGCTGCCTGACAGCACGGCGGCCACGGCTCCCAGCTGCACCTGCTCTCGCCAGCATTTCACGTTTTGCCTTTCCCATGGGAGAAGCCGTCCAGAGCGACCCTGGGGAGCGGGGCTGTCCCCGCAGAGCCCAGGCCGCCCGGGAGGCTCTGTGCGCGTGTCCGGCAGCCCGTCCACCCGTGGAAGGGAGGGAGCGAGCTGCTCCGCTAGATGCCTTACGCGGTATTTACTCATCAGGCCTTGCCTCTTCCAGTGGCCGGGGAATAAACCGTTTTTACAGACATAGACTAAAAACAGCCAGGTGTTTCCAGGTGGGTGTGGACTGGGTGCATGCCGGGTGGGGTGGCTCAGGTTCTTCTGTGACCTCACGGAACCGTCACTTGTACCGGTTCCCAACTCGCCATGTAAACAATGGGTTTGCATTTTAGTTGCAACAATAAATTTTTTTCTAAAGAACACAGACTTGGTGCCTCCATTTCTCCCGCTGTGGAGCTGAGTCGGGCGGGTCTGTAATCTGCGCCCCCCCCCCCCCCCGTCCCACAGGGCCCAGGGGCTCACCGCTGCAGCCGGCCTCCGCCCTGCCCCCGGCGACCTGCCCCCCGCGCCCTGCCCCTCGGCGCCCTGCCCCTCCCCCCGCGCCCTGCCCCTCGGCGCCCTGCCGGGGCTTGGGCTCAGGGAAGCTGCTGGACGAACAATTCCCCTAACCCGTCAGCCGCCAGACACAGTGTGGTACCCCTGATCAGAAACGAAAGTGAGCACAAAAACTGTGGTACTTCTGTGTACACAATTCACTGTGCATCCTTCAAAGTGATGTGTGTGAATGTGTGCACACATTTGTGTGTGTGTGTGCGCGTGTGCATGTGCCAGTCCTAGGACTTGAACTCAGGGTATCAGTACTGTCCCTGAGCTTTTGTGTTCAGGGCTAGCGCTCTACCACTTCAGCCACAGCTCCACTTCCGGCTTTTGTGGTATTTCAATTGGAGATTAAAGAGTCTCATGGACTTCCCTGCTTGGGCTGGCTTTGAACTGCAGTCCTTAAATCTCAGTCTCCCGAGTAGCTAGGATGAGATGACAGGTGTGAGCCATTGGCTCCAAAGTGATTCTATTCACTTCCTGTTTTGGAGTGACTTCTGCTTTGCACGCAGCCTCACTGTGGCCACAGCGCCCAGCAGACACAGGTGGCAGCCCGTACCCACGGTCCTGCCAGGTGTCCCATGCAAACTGGCACCTAAGCAAGGAACAGGAGGAGAACCACCAGTGTGGAGAACCGGCTTCTGACACGGGATAGATATGCTGTGAGGCAGAGGCCACTCGCCAGACACCCCCGGGAGAGGCTGGGAGCCTGGCACACACAGCCAGTCCTGGGCACAGCACCAGACAGCCCCCCACTCCCTCGCATTCTCTGCGCTTCAGGCAAAACAAAGTATCTGTGAAAATTGCTTTTAATGGAAATTTCAGAGCACAGGCCATAGAACAAATAAATATTAAAGCAGAACACAGTACATGGCACATAGAAGCAGAAAAATGAAAATGTTGCAAAGCTCAGCCACGCCATGGGGAGCAGCCGTCCCAGCCCGGGCTGGCTCTGCATGGTGAACAGACGCTGCGGGACGTGGCTTTATCATTAAAAAAAAAAAATACATTTACTGGGAATGGTGTTTGTTTAAAGCTACAGTCTGGCGTGAGGTGGGCCTGAGTGCTAGAGAGCCCGCCCAGCAAGCCCCGGCCCGGCCCGTTCAATCCCTGGTACTGCCAATAAATAAATAGAAGGCAAGGAAAAGCTATGCTCTGGCAAAGTCTTGCAAACCAGTGCTGTCTCTAGGAGCCCTGGGTTTCTTTAGCCAGCCTCAGCCATGTGGCGGCGGTGTTGGCCTGTGTGTTCAAAGGGGCCAGAATCAAGCCGCCGGTCCCCGCCTGGGAAGCCCAGGCCCCCGCCTGGGAAACCCAGGCCCCTTGTCCGTGTCATGTCTTCCATCTTCGCGCTACCGGCACACTTCACTGCGTATGGGCCATAGCCTGGCTGCAGTGTGGCTTGTACAGACCCCAGGACCTTGGCTTCACACCCCCACCCAAACTCTCCAAGGGGACAGTTGGCTGCTGTTGAAGCCACTTGAGCTACCAAAGCATCGTAGACGCGGGGCTGGCCTGCGGGCCGGGCGCGGCCGCCTCACCCCGGTGGGTATTAAGCAGGCAGCCCCGAGCCGTGACGTGCAGGGAGGCTCGTGCTCCACATGCTCTGCCTTGGCGTCTTTATGCAGATCTCCACCAGCCTGGGCCTGGCACCTGGCAAGCCACACACACTCAGAGAGGCAAAAGCGTCCAGGACTCGCTGAAGCCAGCCACTTCGGAGGCACCGCGTGCACCCCTTTTCCTGCTCCACAAAAAGCTCCATTTGTGCCCTGGGACTTGCTACCAGCCAGCTGCCCTGGCCAGGCCCCGGGTGGAGACCGGATGGCGGCAAGGAAGCCACACCAGCCAAGACCTTTAAAAGACCGTGATCTCCACCTCGGCGTCCTGGTTGCAGAGTCCTCCCTGCAGTGAGCGGAGCTTGTCCATCTTCTCGAAAGCCCAGCGCCCTTTCTCTCCTGACACAGAAGGCTCACATTACTGGACGTCCCCACCACCGTGTCCTGCTCTGCCGGACCCTAGTGTGGCCCCGCTGCTCGAGCGCCAGGGGACCCCCACCCAGCCGGGCCCCACACCTGGGCGGCTGCCTGTGACAGCTGTGGCCAGCTGTGGCCAGGCGGCACCCTCGGGCAGGCGCGGTGCAAAGCCCCCTCCCACGAGTCCCCGCGCTTCCCCCTGGGAATCCCGAACCCCTGCCTCACCAAAGGACAGCGTGGCTTCCCGCGCTGCTGCTCGTACGGCCTCCAGGTCCGACTGGCACAGGCTGGCAATCTGATCCACGCTCTCCGTGCCCTGTGGGAAGAGGACAGGTCTGCTGGGAGCGTTTTGCCTTCTTTTGAGCCCAGGCTGGCTTCTGCGCCAGCCTTCCAAGCGCTGGGGTCATGGCGGGGTCACGGCGAGGTGAGAATGAGCACTCTGCACCCCCTGGGCCCCGCAGGCTCCCAGCATTGACCCCGCCCTCCTGGCCTTGGCTCTTGCGCCCTGCAGCGCCCTCTGCTGGCCCCGCGTGGCTGGACACCCGTCAGAGGCAGGCCGCCTACGTCCGCTGGGTTTTATCTGTGTGCAGCAGCCTTGGTGTTTTAGAGTAAACTGCCGGTGAGGCAGGCAGCCCCTCACATCGGGGTGTGCAGGTGCGGGGAGCAGAGGGTCAGGTCCTGTACAGGCATAGGTCAGAGGCCCATGCTGTGTGCACAGCGCTGATGGGGTCATTGGGGAGCAGGAAGGGTGGGGGATAATGGCTGGTTGCTCACGTGTCATAAAATGAGGTCACACTGGGCCCCAGGTGCCTGCACAACCCCGTTCTTTATGTTCACTTGT